TTTTTTAACAATATAAATAAACTCTCTTTAAACTTAAGTGAGCTCCTCAGCTAAAGAGTATGCATTTGTGGCTTTTAAGAACAGTCCATACCTCCCTTAAGTACCATTGTTCCTGCTCAAGCAATAGACACAGCAAGAGACATGCCCTAGATGTCACACATCACTACTAAAGAAGTTTAGAAGAATGTTAACAAGTATATTCAAGCTATGCGAATTCAAGCTCAGGAATGAATTCCATGGCTCACAAGATCCAGCATATCACACCCAGAGAAGCAGCACCTCAACTAGCAAAAGTAATGAACTGCTTTTCCCAGGTCAGAAACAAACACTGGCTTTTCTGTGTCAAGTTACAGCTAGTTCCACTTGTAGAGAATTTAGTTCAAGAAAACCCACTGCCTGAATCACACACACCTGGCAGCGAGCCCCAACCCCACCCCTCTGCTAATTTGACAGAATAAGATTACTTTTATTTTTAAAGAGCCTTTGTGGAGTTTAAGCCCACTTATTAGCTACACACATCCTCAGTGCAAATAACACAAACACAGGCTTTATTTTCCTGATGCAATACAGGTTAAGGAATAATATTTTTGCTTTAAGGTTTGAAGACAGCAGATTTGGGTGGTTGGTTTGTTGTGTTTTCTTAAGTTTGGTGGGTTTTTTTTTTTTTTTTTTTTTTTCTTTTTACATAACTTCAACACAAAGCACCATCTGTATAACACTTCACAAAGAAGAGTAAACAAAACTTAAAAAGACTCAAAATGTTCAAAATAAATATTTTGCGTAAAGTGATGATCAACCTATTTTCCTCGAGTATTTTGAACAGCTTTAAATTATTAAGAAGCAGCTACTAGTGAAATAAATAGTCTCAGTTTTTGACTGGAAACAGAAGTCTACCTGAATATTACCCATGTCCTTAGAAGACTCCAAGAACTTTCAGTCTTTGACCATTATTTCTTATTGCAAGAACTATGGTATGGCTCTCATGAGAGCATATTCATACCTGACTTATCACTGAACAGAAAAGAATAAATGGACATTGACACCTACTCCCTAGATGCCATATTTAGTGTCTGCTCTCCCGCCTCCTGCAGAAGTTGCTTTCAAATAGACACAAAAGGAGTTCCCGTGTTTTTGTTAGCGAGAGGCCCAGGGAACTTAATATTATTTTCATAAAAGGTTATTTGTTATCATGACAGTAGGCAAGAGATCCAAAAATACATGCCATTATTTAAAATGAATCAGATATGTTTCAGAGCTTAAGTAAAACTGCATTTGCTTCCCACAAAATAGTTCTTTATTTGCTATGGAAATCGCATCCCTGGAGGCATTTAAAATGCTAGAGTGGACAGAATACCAGGAAAAGATACTGCAAGAAGTTACTATGCATCAACAGGAGATTATATATGATGATTTAAGACATCTTTCCTCACCCATAATTTCCACATCTGGTTTCTACAGATTGATAGTAAGCCAAACATAAATACGCACCCACACAGACTTCAACTTAACTACTGTGCGTTACTTTCCATTTAATTTGAGAGCATGGGAGGCATAGTCAAAATAGATGCGCACTGCTTAACTTCAAAGGAGCCAAAGCAACCTAGAATCCAACTCAAAATATTTGAAGTTTACCAGACATCTGTTATCCAGAGACAGATGCAAAGATTTCAAGAGTCTCCACTGTTTTCCCAGTGAGATTGGTGCTGTGACCATCACTGATATTGCCTCAAGGTGTTTTTTTTGTTTGTTTGTTTTAATTAACATAGGAGAGTAGCAGCCTGGAAGAACAGTTCCAATCTTTTGCATCCCTGTTCCTTTCCAAAGGTCTTCTCCATTTTAGTAATTCTCTAGCTTCCAAGCAATAAATAAAATGGCTCACCAACCTCTAGCAGATTTGAGGTTGGCTTGCATTTCATTATTCAAAACCCTGCAGGCATAGCAGTAGTCATATTTCTACTCTACTGAAACTTAGAAAACCTACGAGTACTTTATTGCATCTATTCCCATTCAGACATTAGTCCTCCAAGCCATCAGGTTGCCCTTAAAGACAAAGGCTTCAACATCTCAAAAGCAAATTTGGTCCCTTGCACTTAAGTGAATATTGTACATTCAAATCACATTTTCCTACAGGTCCATTGCTGCATATTTCTTTTCAGTTATAAATTAAACTTACGCATAGAATTACACAACGTGGATTTAACCTGATTTACTTAGCTGGACAATTTTAACATCTCATTTCTTTCCCTTAAATAGGACTACTGACCTCTGAGCTTAGATTCCTTCATGCCTTTTGGAAAATGATAGCTGTTTTCTTCTCTCAAATGTGAAGTTAAAGGCACCTCTAGGAATAAGTACTAAGTTTTCAAGTGACAAACAATTGCATCCCTAGGCTCAATTGTTTCATCCAAAGCTGTTTTCAGGTCTTTAATCTTACACAAATGGAAACCACTAACAAATTAACTAACACGGCATACTTACAGACAGTACCATTCCATTGACCCCAATCAGCCCCAGTCCAATCCCTTACTATACAAAGCTCATCTTGTTCCATAAAACATTTTGCAAAAGTAAGGTTGTCTGAGTCAAAAGACGCATCCCATACAGCGCACCCATTTTGTATGGCCACCAGTGGTGTATACCATCATCTCACTGAACTGCAGAGTGCTGCCAGCAGGAAGAATGAGCGAGACATACATTCTGAGCATGAGTGCTTAGACAAGGGTTGCACACATATGACACATCTTCCTAAGTCATGCTATGTGGATGCAGCACACCAGGCAGAGAATAGCCTCTGCTGACGTAACTGTATCTAGAAGTAGAAACTACACCCACCCCAGATGATTTTTGTTCCCATTTTGACAGGAGGCTAAAAGAGATGAGCTTTCTGTAAGCAATTCAAACTATTTAAAGCAGCATGTTTGCTACTTTACAAACACAATCTGAATGAATTTAGGTTAAGCCAATACTTAACCTACTTGAGCTGATACAGGCTTGACTTAATGGATAACCTGCTAGCTGTTATGACAACACATTCATGAATAAGATACTGTATTTTCCATGTGTACACTTGAATTCTACTTGTAGCTACTTGTGCAGTCTGACTACAGAGATTATGCTATGACAAAGTGAACTGAACAAGTCCAGAGTAAACATGGCAACAGTGCATACCTGAAAATTTTCTAGATGACAAAAATTAAAAGAATTAAAGAGAAAGTTTCAGATTTTTACTTTTGCTTTTTCAATTTAGTGAAGGGTCAGAACATGAATAATTTATCTACCTGTTCATTTACTGATCATTAGGATGACATTAAAGAGCAATGGAAAACAAAACTAACTGGAAATACTCAGTAACAACCAAAAGTATCTTAACCAAGTAAAATATTTAGTACTACACTTCACTCTTGTGCTTATTCACAATGACTTCTTTAAAACAGCCCACAAAAAGTTCAACTCAAGGAGGTAGATGAAATGCTTCCACAAGAAATATTAAGAATTCAAAAACACGCTGCAGAAAAAGTAGTGGTTACCTCCTATGGTCTACATTCAGTCGCAGCACTCCTGATACATTTTGTCCTTTTTTAAAAGAAATATTATCTCCTCATCACCCCCCTTCAAGGAAAGTTATCCACCCCAACCATTTGCCCATACTATATGCACAGTTTTAAGTTGATACAGAAATCACTATGAACCAGTCTTTCTGCTCAGCCTCATAATTCTGGTCTTCAAGTGATACTGGTCTTGTTGCATTGTTGCTACAGTGGACACATCTTTATGACTTCTCTACTACCTTCTATGAGTCCTCCTTGTTTTGTAGGTCCACAAAGCCACTACATCACTATAGAGTGAAGCACTGACGTGAATAAGCACAAAATAGATACAATTCAACCTTTAAGAATAAAAATTTATCCAGGAGTTTTGCAGATTCAGAATCATGTACTCCAAGAAAAAGAAAAACATTAAGTTCCATCTATTCTAATCTTCCCAAGCCCTTCCAAAACAATACTGCTCCCTGTACAAGGAGCTGCAGAAGGGCAGCGAAAAAGTATAGATGCAATTTATCTAAAAACAGTCTTCAAGCAGAACAAACATTCCCAACTGCTATTAAAAAAAAAAGCACATACAATTTCTTAACAGCAGGAGCATAAGCATCTTTGTACTCCTAGCTTGCAGGGCCTGGATTAATTCATGCATGTAAGGAGTGGCCTATGTGTCTGAAATCTTTTAAGAATGAAGCTTGCTTTTAAGTAACTCTAGACCTTAGAGAATTTTAAAACCATCTTCACTCATGTTTGCCAGCAGCTGTTATTTCAACACAGCTACTTAAAAGAAGTAGCACCAATTTGAGCCTGAAGATATTGCCAGAAAACTAACAAAATCAAAACATCAACATTTTACCATACATGAACACACTGTAACTTAACCCTTTACTATTTAATTAGTATCCAGTATTAATGAATCAGATGCCACCTAACTGAATTGCTGAAACTAGTCCTTAATGCAAAGCAGCTGTTTCTATCCAAGTAACAATTAACACAAACTGAAGACCACTTCAGACAACACATTAGAAAGGCTTTAAGCAGTATATTTACTTTTTTCTTTTTTTTTTTTTTTTTTTTTTCCAACTTCATGCCTATGAATTGGGAAAAGAGGTTACAGGAATGCTGAACACCAGAAAGGCTTCAAATTACAGCGTGTTATTTGATCTGAAACAGAATAAAACATCACTATCACAAGAAAACTTGTTTATACACAGAAAAAAAATCTTGACTGTTCTTTGTCACACCTCTTTCTGTTACTGCTAAAAGGATCAACTGATGCATATCTACATGAAGCTGAACATTTAAGGGCTTAACAGTTTCCTGGGGATGGAAGATATCCTCAGTAAAAAAAAAGTTTCTACTTTCCAGCTGCAGCTACCAATCCAAGTACCATCTTAACTTCTTCATGGCAAGAAGCTATTAGCAGCACAAAAGTGAGATTCCAAAGTAGCTCCTCTTTACCTTGTCCAGACATCTGGAAATACCAGGATGATCAGATTCCTGCTGGAGAAAGAAAGGACCAAAAGGAGCCAGTTCCTCATGTAGACTATTGTGAACAAATGCTGAACAGGAATAGATTCAGCATTGAACTTCTACAACCATATAACTGCTATGGCAGGAGACTGAATGAATGCAAAGTCATTTAGAGTCCTCAGGGACTGAAAACAGCTATCACATTTTGTTATCATTTACTACAGTCTTCTCCACTTGTTTTTACAGCTGTCTTCATGTTCTAGCAAGCCTGAAATTGCACAAGTTTTTATTTTCAGCTTTAAATCCAGAAGATTATTCCAGAAGTTGGCACCAAGACCCGCACAACAATTCAGGAGCCTGTCTGCTCATATTTTAATCTACTTCTGCATACATGAGTTACTCATTTTACTGAGGGTTTTTTCCCCATGAGAAATTAAGACATCACAGTCTTTTCTAAGAAACAAAAACAGAGGAGATAGTGAAGTGCAGAGGTGTTTGGACAAAATTATCCACGAACACAAAGAGAAGCTGCTTCTAATGCTAAGAGTTGCCTGATTTTTTCATCTTTTATTTAAAAACACAGAACTGAATGTTAAAGAGGCAATGGTAGAAAGAAAAGCACAAACAGGTCTAGAAACTTGTGATGGGTGAACAAACACATCAGTAATCTATGAACTGTATTTGGACTAATTTTCTATCACTTATGTTTTGCAAGTCAGTAGGGACTGAAGCATCATTAACAGTCTCTTTGCCAGTCAAAGCAAATAAATCCTTTCGTTTTGATAAACACTATTTGAGCAAACTAAAACTTTAGCAATTTTGCTCTCAGAACTAAAAGTGCACCAGGAGAAACAGCTGTGGACCCAAATTCTGCTCTTCGCACAGATGTGACTTCAGAATAGCACTGCTACATTAAGCAGGAGTCTTTCCCCTGGAACATCAACTGTATCACAGCATGGGAAAAATATTCACTGATCTGTTCTTGAAGCAACGTTTGAAAATTTTTAATTTACGAATTTAAGGATTTTTTGTAGAATCACATAATCCTTAGAGTTGGAAGGGGCCTTTAAAGGCCACCTACTCCAATTCTTCTGCAGTGAACAGGGGCATGCAAGATCAGGTTGCCTAGGGCCCCATACAGCTTCACCACAAAAGTCTCTGAGGATGGGGCATCCACATCTCTGGGCAACCTGCGCCAGTGCCTCACCACCCTCAATGTAAAAGACATTTTCCTTATATCCAACCCAAATCTACCCCCTTTTAAGCTTGAAACCATTTCCCCTCATCCTATCACCACAGACCCTGATAAAAAGCCTGTCCCCTTCTTTCCTGTAGTTCCCCTTTAGATACTGAAAGGCTGCTATTAGGTCACCTCAGAGCCTTTTTTTTTTTTTTTAAGCTTAGAGATAAATGTTTAGGACCACAATATAAGTTCCAAAGTATAGACATTTGCTAGGACTTGGGGCACAATGAGAACACAGGTTATGAAGAAATGTTACACTTTTATCAATGTAATAGGTTAATAAACCACCATTCTAGAACATATAATTGATTGAAAACTTGATTCAAATTTTACTTCAAGCATTTTCAGCCCTTTCCTAATTTTAAAACAGATGTATAATCTTTAAAATGAGCTGAACTTCAATGGGGACATTTCCTAACTATATTTTCTTCCCTTCATTTAATACACAGTGTGGAAAGATTATACTGAAACAGTAAGAAATTACTATCAGGTCCTTTCCAGTTGATTCTTTCTTTAGTATAACATATGGACAATATAATATAACACATGAAAGGGTCTCTAGAGCTTGAAGAATGCAAGCAGCTAATCTAGCCTTGAGAAGAGCAACTTCTAAATTTTATACTTAGTTTAAGTGAAGAAATCTGTTTTAGACCACACATGCAATTGAAAAGTAAATCCACTAGTATTTCCGGAATACAGCAACCCCAATCTCAGCAGTGATTAACGCAGCTAATTTGGTCTTATTTAAGTAAGAAAAGTGCATCTTAAACAAAACCTGGAACATTGTCTAGTCATACCTAGAACTCAGCTCGTTACCAAACTTGCCAATGAATATCTCATCCTCTGCAGCTTGACACCTGACTACATACCCTACAGCTTTATCAAGTCATACTTATAAAAGAGAACGTCCTCTAAGCTATTAAGTAAACTGTCTCACAAGGCTAGATGGACCAATGCTGTCAAACAGACTTTCAGCTAAGTGAAGTGGAAGCAAACCTGCTTGCTCAGAGAGTATTCCACAGAACGTAGTTCAATATTTTACTAGTATTTTTCCTGAAATTTCCCACTGAACTGGGGAAGTTAGTACAGATCAGTATTAAAGACAACTACAAATTAGTTTGATTTATCAAGAAATTACATGTCTGCAACTGTTCCCTTCACACACACTAACTGAGGAAAGTAAAATCTCACCCGTGTCATTTTAAAAAAGTCTAAAGACGGCCTGTTCCATCGTACATCCTCCTCCCGTCTGCGCTTTAGCCGGCTTTTCTTTTCATTCAGAACACAAGGCTGAGAGCGGCACCTCAACAAGCCCTGACGTCGGCTGAGCTCGGGTGTGGAGGTGGGAGTGCTGTTGGCTGAAGGCAAAAGATTCCCAGTCTCCGTGATGTGCTCCTGGGAGAGGGAGAGGCGACGCCTTGGGTTAAAGTCACAGGGCCCTCCAGAATTCCAGCGTGTACTGGAGCTTGTGCTTCCCTCGCTGCTGTCCACAAACCCGCTGCTGGCAGAGGAAGGTCTGGGTACTGGCGATGTGTTGAAGCTGGTGACGGTGAAGACGTTATTGAGGGACAGTATGTTTTGTGGCAGGCTGATGCTTGTGCTTCTCTGCAAGGTTGCACTTCCATGACTGTTGCAGCGTTGCAAGGTCGCGCTGCCACCGCTGTTGCATCGTCTCTTTGACACGGGAGTCCAAACCTTCGAATTGCCAGGTTTCCAGGGTGAGCGACAGCGAGCCAGCTCATCTGGCTCTGAGAGGGACCTGCAGTGGCGTTTTGTGGGTGGTGCCAAGGGCTGACCCGAGTTTTCGTTGAGGTTTAACTCACTGATCCATCCTGACACCATGGACGTGCTGGAGGGCTCCTGCTGCCACTGCAAAGTGCCATTGGTGGCAGGGCCGGTGCTGAAGGGGCACACTGGGAAAGGGTAGGCAGAATTCCTGGCATCAGTCTGGATTGGACATCCCCCATTTAGAGCTTTCCAAGGACTGTCTTCTAGGGAAAAAAAAGATAGAGGTGATACATAGGAAGGAAAAGGTTTCTTGCTTTATGTCTGGCTTAATGTAAAGCCATTACTCAACTTAGGCTTAGAAGAGAGCCATAGATACCCAGCTCCACATCAACATTTAAAAATACAATTACAAGGTAGATAGCTCCAAAACCATGAAGTCCAAGTATTTCAGGGACAACTCCAGGCATTCCAGTACACATGTGAGTACCTAGTTAAGTCTTCTTGCTGTATATTGAAAGATAAGAGCTCTATTTCTTCTCTGTGAGCAACAGTAACAGATTCGTTATCTGCTTTTCTAGTGCACACCATACAACAGAAATTAAATCCTGCAGCAGTGAACCAAAAGTATAAAAGGATTAACAACCCTTGTGAAACCCTACCAAGGATTTCTATGTTATTTTTTATTTAAAAGAACAAGATAATCTGTTCATAGACAGCTGTCTCTCATTTGGCTGTAATATTTCTCCATTAAGAACACCTTACTATAGGAAAGTTTCAAAGAGATGGGTGTTCGCATTCCATGCTGTGAATAGCTTTAATTTAAATTGGAAACAGTATCAAGTTATTTTAGACTGCACCATGTTTCCTTTTTTTTTTGCTCAAATTTCAAGCATCAGGAAAAAAAAGTCTTAATTCAATGCATTAAAATAGTGAGGATGCCTTCAGAACCTCCTACAAGTTTTACTGTGAATACAGACATAACGCATAGTGCACAACTTCTCATCTGAAGTGGCAGTGCTGGGTTAAAAGAAGTCTGCCAGTGAAGGCTCTCACTCTTTTGTAAAGCATTTCTTTGAGAACATTCTGCACATTTTACAGCTGTTCCTCCACATTATACAATGAAATGTAAGAAGAACTACAGCAGACTTTGGAATTGCAAATTGAAAAGCAGTAAAACTGTTGGCCAGTTAGCAGTGCTTCATGCTTGGTTAGAAAATTTGCTAATTTAAACCAATTAGCCAAGGAAGCTTCACTTATCCCGGACTTAAAAGAATTATTTAAAATATCAAGGGGTTTTTTTTGTTGGGTTTTTTTTTTTCATCTAGACCTCTTTTAAGAGTCTAGAATATAGCCTAAATATTAAATACCTGTGTTTTCTTACAGTTAATTGTCCGAAAAGTTTTTTAGAAGTTTTGCAGAGTAGCTTTAAAAATCCAAATACTTGTACATGTTCCATGCCCAAACTATGTCATGGATTATCCTGCTTATTTGGATCTTATTTAAAGAACACCCTATTGTCTCAAAATCATTTAACTGTGCAGACAGCTGGCCTATTCAAACAACATGTTTTATTAGAATTCCTCTGTCCTTCCTCCTCCATTCTTTCAAATGGGTACAACCACATACTGTGCTTTGCCTTGAGCACGTAAGCTCTTCAAGGCAGAGACCATCCATAATTCAATGCAAGTAAAATAGCCAGCACAATGGGATCCAGATACTGTTTGAAACTCCTTGCATCTATTGTAGGACAAATTTTTAGCTTGGTCTGGCTTGATTTAAAAAAAAAAAAAAAAAAAAAAATCTTTAGGAAGCCTACTCCTACAATAGAAGATATTTTAAAGTTCACTGTGAAAAGAAAGTCAAAAGTTGCATATGTACTTTAATCATTCATATGCTATCAAAAAATACTGAGATAAAGTATTATTTCCCTTTGGAACCTCATACAAACCATGCACCACGATTTAAAAGGAATCACTGAGCAAGTAAGAACTACCCATGCTTTAAAACAACAGAACACACAACGTTTCAAATCCATCCCTTAATAAAGCAGCATGACATTTCCCTATCAGTTAGCATGCTTTTGATTTTTGGTGATAAAGCTTACTCTTAACAGGATCAAGGGAATATTGATTAGGGAGGGGGAGCTAATGCACTCAAAGCACTGGACATGACTTATGGTTTGCACTGTATATTCTGTGTGGCAAAGCCTGCAAAAAGGTGTGTAAAGAGGTTAGAGATTTCCTCTAACAGAGGAGATGTGCAGGATGAAAACCAGCATTGCTGAGCTTCTGTACACCGTAGCAGATAACATAAAAAGTGTTACCAGGGCTTTTACTATGCAAAGCAGATCACACGTACAAAACTAACAACCAGCTATTCCCAGTACGTTCACAGACCAGCTTAAACCAGCAAGCTCTGCAACTGCATGCTCCATCCCCCTCACCTTATTTACAAAAGAAAGGCTGCTTGCTATACCAATTACCTCAGTAAAACACAGCTAAGGCTTCTGAAGAACTTACCGTTGATTTCGAAAGAGAATAAGCTGCCACTTTTGTTCAACTTCTCAGATGAGTACTGAAATCAATCAGAAAAACAGTTTTAACTGTGTGAAAGAACCAGCATACACCCCAAGGAAAACACATGTAATTTTCAGTTTCCCTCTATGTGCCCCTAACAACCTCCTTAAAGGAATTGGTTTTGCTGGGTATCTTGAAGAAATTCCTGAACAGCAGATCTTCCCCAATGAAAACTCTGAAGCTTAACTATTGGCAATATTAACTGATACACTGTTAAGTATCAAACTGTTGCAACGTCAGCTCATGCAAGTAAACTTCAGAATTAAGAACGATCATTGCCTCAACGAAAAAGCTTTGGTTCAATTCTCATTTCAGTGGCGACTGATTTACAATGTGACAACCACATTTCCATGCTCAATCTTAAGGCTAAATAGCAAAATACTTCAACTTAAATGAATGAGGAATAGCTTCAGATAAATTAAGCATACAAATCTTAAAGGTCTCCACTAGAAACGTCATATCCAAGACAGGCTTTATTATTTCACATGTTCTTACATACCAGCATAGCAAAATGTTTCCTTATTTCTTAAGGTATATGAGTCATTAAAAAGTAAATCATGTCCAAAACTCATCTTTTGCATAGTTTTTGAATTCATACAGTTTATTGGCAATAGTTTATTAGTCTGAAACAATGTAAACCCCTACTTAAAGTTTGTGTGTAAAGCCCTTCAGAATTTAAGATTAAGCTTTGTCAGTAGCAACTGCGCAGTAATACAGGCCTATCTATAAGTAAGGCAGCTCCTATTTCTTTAGTGAATTTCACCTAGGAAGAAATATCACTCCATGGCATTGTTAGAGTACAGGTTTCTCAGGCATATAGGATGCTGAACAGCAAGCTGTAAAGAGAGTACTTGTAAATAAAATGGCTTCAGGCCCAGCAGATCCCAAGGACCATTCTTTATTCCTCTACAACAACATCTCAGGATGGAGAGGAAGATTATTTTATATAAGAAGTGTTGCTCTTTTAAACTTGTTTTAAGGGTACAGGCAAAAGACATCAGACTTCCTTACCAGACAATTTTTTAAACAAACATCACTGGTCTACAAAGCTTTTGTTTCTTGCTTTATAGCAACACAACTGAATATTGCTGATGCACTTCAATCCTTCAATTCCTCACGTGACATAAATACTAAGCTATGGTAGTATTCCCTTGGTGACTTTGTTTTGGAGGTAGGGAATGGATGAATTGCTGGAAAGGACAGACCACAATCAGATTATTAACCTTACTTCATATCAAGGTCAGCATATGAGAGAAGCTATTTGCATCACCTATTTCCTTGCATCTACAAATGCATTTATAGCTTCCTATTCAAAGGAAAACTCTTTAAGCAGAAGAAGTTTGAAACTCCATCCAGCTTGCAACTGATGAGTCCTTCTCAGAAGATTTAAGCCAAACTTAAGAGCAAGAGCTACCACTCTCACTAGCTTGCCTTTCATAATTGTAGTTGTCAGTTACATCAAACACACTAATAAAGCTAGTATCAATAATCAATAATTTACTGAACAACTACTAAGATAACATACAGAACACAAGAGTACATTGAGATAACAGCAGTGGCTGTGTTTTACCCGTCCCTGAAGGACAAAAAACTTAAACATAAGGTTACCCAAACTCCTTCCTCTCCAGTTTTCTTCAAATCCAATAACAGCATCAATTTATTAACTATCAATTTATAACTAAGGAAAATATATATTGGAATCAAGAGCCCCATTGAAGTCTTAAAGCTAATTCATCTCAAGTCACATGCAAAAGGATAGTAATTATTATGGTTGTTTAAGAGATTATATACACAGGCTACGATCTTGGATACGTAGAAGGATCAGAACCTCAAGGACAATCTAAATCACTAGGTTGCTATTTAGCTTTTGCAAACATTTGACCAAATGCATCTTTCGTAGGGTGCTCTGCAAACATGCCTGTTTCATCTGTTACAGTCTAACCACCTTAAGAAGCCTTGCCTATAAAATAGAAACCACTCTACTGCATCTCTGACAGTTGAAAACAGCATTTTTGAAAGGGACTTGAAAAAACTGGACTACACATACATAGATTATCTGCACTACAGGGAATGGCTGCAGTGTTCTTAACAGCCATCAGTTCCATCCTTAGAGCTATTTCTGAGCAGCTTCTAGGGAAGTCAGTGCTCAGTTCTGTGAGATAAGCACATTACAGCTACAATTCATTCTCTGAAGTGATCATTTATACAGAATCCTGTAAAAATCACAAAAAGTGTCAATTCTTTGGAGATTGAAACCAAAGGGCTCCAAGTGTGACATCTGATACTGAATGCAAGAGAAAGGAAAAAGGGCATCGTTTTCAGTAAAATGCTTGATGCAGTGAAACAAGGGGGTGAAGAACCTCTCTTACATGTACTTGGGATTTCTGTAACTGAAACTAGAAGTATGTGGACGATTTACCTGTTAGTGTATTATAATGATGTCTGTAAGTTCAAACTTGAGTAGAACCTGTAAAGCTGTAAATTGTTTATTGCAGTTAGGATCCTTTTTATCTATAGAAACATGGCAGATGTCCCACTAGGTTTACTGCAACAAAGCCCTGAACCAGTTTATCAGCTCTCCTGTACTGCCTACATACACTGCTTTCCTCCAGTCAGCCCTTTCATAGGAAGAACTACCTGAAGCTTCCTGAACAAAGAGTCTTGTTATTATTTTATGATTTTACTGGAAAAAAGATAAGCAGAGTTTACAAAGCAATGGGGAAGTCTGCTAAGTTCTGTGTGAAGGACGTTTTCTTTAAATAAGGTCAAGTTATTCAATCAGGTCTTTTTCCTGATAGACTCCAGACCTCAAGCATGTCCATCTTCCAACTACTGCTTTTTGAACAAATGCTTAAAGAAAAACAAGAAAACATGTATTTTTACCCTAAAAAGCACATTTCTTAATCCTCACAATCTTAAAATTAACTTGTCAATGCATTTTCTCCAATTCTTAAGCACATTTGGAACTCCTCCAATTAGTTGGCTCTCTTCCCAAACCACAGGAAAGCCAGAGTTTACTATTCAAGTCCTAATTTAACTACCACCACGTAAGTGTGACGTCTATAGTTTGAATAAGTCCCCAAATCAGACTTTCATTTCTACCAAACACCTTCTAATTATGACTAGCTAGAAAACAGCATGGAAAAGTGTTTCATCTGTTATCAGCACGTGAAGAAGTGATCAAGCCACATTTTAGACTTGGCCCTCAAGTCTTTCTACCAGTGGCTTTTCATCCAAAGCCAAGACATTCTCAACTATATTTGAAATGTCATGGGAGAAAGCTCAAGTCCCTGCTGACTGGAAAAAGGCAGTATAGCACATATTTTTAAGAAGGGTAGAAAGGGTAATCCAAGGAACTACTGACCAAGCTAGCCTCACCACAGTGCCAGGGAAGAACATGAAGCAGATCCTCCTGGCAGATATGCTAAGGCATATGGAAGAAAGGGGAATGTTACAGGATAACTAGCACAGCTTCACCAAGGGCAGATACTACATGATCAACCTTGTAGTTTAATGCTGGTGTGACTGCATCAGTGAACAAGAGAAGAGCTGTTTATATCATCTACGTGGACCTGAGTACAGCTTTTGACACAGTTCTCTATAACATCCCTCACTCCAAACTGTACAAATATGAATTTGAAGGGTGGATTGTTTGATGGACAAAGAGCTGGTTGTGAGATCATACCCAGTGAGGGATGGTCAATGGCTGAATGTCAGGATGAAGACCAGCAATAAGTGGTGTCCCTCAAGAGTCAGTATTGACTCTGGTGCTCTTTAACATCTTCATCAGTGACATCAACAGTGGAATCAAGCACACCCTCAGCAAGTTTGCAGATGATACCAAGCTGTGCTGTGCAATTCACATGCTCAAGGGATGAGATGCTATTCAGAGAGACTTACAGTCTCGAGCAGCAAGCCCAGTTGTCTTGCACCTGGATTGCCACAACCCCCACTGAGATGGAAGAACATAAGGCTCAACCACAGCTCTACCAAAAAGGGCTTGCGGGATACTAGTGAAAGCTGGACATGAGACAGCAATGTGCCCCTGAAGATCAGAAAGCCAACTCTGTCTTGAGTTACACTATTCCCAGAAGAATAGTGGTCAGGGAGACCTCAGAACACTGCTTGAAGAACACCTCGCTTCTGAGATAGCCAACAAACTATTCTACTGTTCTACTTTGAGCTACAATGGTCACCTGAGATAAAAGTTCAGGATAACCTAATGCCCTAATCAAATCCCCTTCTGCTTCTACAGAAGGAAAAACAATCATGTTTCTTTCAACTCCCACAAAGGCAGGTGTGATATAACTGATAAAATGTGTTATAGTAGCTTGGAAAATTACTATGTTGGTTAACAGAGCAGTAAGAGAAGCTACAGATGATGTACTACAACATACTTAGACAAAAGCAAAGAAATATAATTTTCATTGTACAGGTTTCACAAATGAAGAAGCACATTATATCCTGTATATGTTATCTTCATACAGAATGGTAGCCATAAGGTAAACGTTAAGTTCTTTACTATGAGAGTGGGGAGGTGCTGGAACAGCTGCCCAGAGAGGCTGTGGATGCCCCATCCCTGGAGGCGTTCAAGGCCAGGTTGGATGGGGCCCTGGGCAGCCTGGTCTGGTATTAAATGGGGAGGTTGGTGGCCCAGTCTTTGGTGGGGGGGGGTTGGAGATTCATGATCCTTGAGGTCCCTTCCAACCAAGGCCATTCTGCAATTCTACAAACGGCTTTCAAAGAGCCATTCCTTTTTCTTTTACAGCCCTAACGTATGATCTGTATGACTTTTCCTTTTTCCCTGCTGGCTGAACAAATGTGGATTTGTTCTTCAGGCTGGTAGATACCTGGGAAAGGCAAGTTTTTATTCTCTGCATGAGCTAGTAAAATATTTTATACAACTAGAAGAGAATTATTCTCTCACAAAGTCTTAACTCATAATGAAAACTCATCTGTAACAGTACCTTTTTCTTCCCTCAAAAATATATGGGAAGAGAGCCATGCCAAAGCCTGAGAAGTCACTCTGATGAAGATGAATAAGAACATGTTCAAATGAAACAATCCCCTTCCTCCAAAACACACTGCTCACTTCCACGCAAGTCAAAGTAGTCCTAATGGCTCTTTCTTGATATTAGCTCTCTACAGAATCATTTTCATGTTCTTCATATTGTGGAGAAAAAAATACAATAAATTCATTGAGTTCTAACTGCTCAAACTGTAACAAACTCTGATCAGCTACCCACAAAAATCTAGAAACTGCTCAAAAAACTACCCACGAATGAAGTAATTCCTCCAGAAACAAAGAAGTAAAAGCAAAACGGTAAGAAAATCACTCTTGATATCTATAGGAAAAAAACAAAAAAGTAATTGAAAAGCTTGAATAAAGGAAATTAAGAGAGCTTTTCAAAAAGCATATTTCACACTGCTACATGGGTTCAACAATTAAGCAGGTGTTTTATAAAATATATTTTCCTGTTGACTACACTGACCAACTCAAACTTGTACTTTTATGGAATTGTAATCCAACTCAGAGGCCAGCAAACATTGCTTTGCTTAGGAAAACTTAAACAGGACAAGCTTCCTGAACAGTTTCTACACTCCTATGTTTATGATTGAAAAAGCCTGAAGTCTTCTAGGGGGTATTTAAAGGTCTCTGAGACCACTAGAAGCTAAGTGCTTGAAGAAATCCTAGCAGGCTCCCAAAGTTCATGTCTAGACTTCGCTTCAGGGTCAGCATAAAATAGCTAGGGAAAAGAGGAAATGTTGGTTTATCTACTTATGCCAAGACATGCAATTATGCAGATGCACTGTGAGCAGGATCATGAAACCAATAAGACAACATTAATCCAGGCAAGAGAGGTTAGTTGTGATCCTGTCAGCTCATGAGATGATTCACTGCATGGTCCCACAAACTTCTGTGAGCACATGTGAAGGAAAGTGCAGGCAAGACTATTTAAGAACTGTTTCTGCTATTAACAACAGCAATTTGAAAACAGAACATTAAAATGAACTTACCAAAAAGTCTACAAAATATGCTACAGTTGAGTTACGGTGGAGGGAGTTGAATCACTCTTCTCCCTTACTAAAATTTTTAACCCTTGAAAGTGAAAAAGTGTACTCTGACCATTATTAGATTCAAATTTTATTCAGGAAGCCATTACTGATTCTATGAATCCTTTTAAGGGACGGAGCAAGCTAGTTAATACCTTTCTTCCCACTTGCTTATTCTTCATTTCTACACCTCACCCCATCATTTCCACACTTCAAGCTGTCACTCTCCATAGACAGAACTTATCCCTGACCTCAGAACCCATCTTCCTTCAAGGAGTAGAATATTTACGTAACCAATTACTTGATGGTTCAAAAGGGGGAGGAAGGAAGGAGATCTATGCCCTGACAGGCCATCATTTGTCATTTTTATTTTCACACCAGTAATTCTTCTCCTTGTTTCACTTTAAAGACAGATAAGTAAAAGAATAAGAAGACAACAGGAGAGTGGTGGAATCACATTGTGAAAGTATTCTTGCATAAAGTCCACACAGTGTAAAAATAGCAGTACATCCTCCTCCGCTCTAAGAAGCCCATGGTCCAAAAGCTACAGTGACCACCAGTAAAAGGAGGTCTCAATTCCTAAAGTTCTGCAAATTTAAGTGGCTCAAACTACGAATTATAAGCTGCCCACTACATTTTAGCAGCACTACTATTAACTGCAGGTCATCATTTTCCCACATCTAGGCCTACAGTTTAACTAGAAGTGACACAAGATTGCCACTTCATGATGAAAGCAGATTCCCCTACAAAATGCCCATCCCAAGTGCTTCAACATGCTAGCTGAAATAAATGCAAACTAAGTATTTCTATTTTGAGATATCCTGTTTCCCACATTTTACATACGCCTTTCAAGAACTGCACATATTTCAGGTGGGGATTCAAAACCATGCAAATTATTAGAAGACCTCTAAAGGGGGCTGTTCAAGTTTAAAAAATAAATATTAAAAATAGTGCACACTATTAGGTATCTTTCTTATCAGGTTGCATGTGTGTAAAACACCTGTGATTGCAAAGAAATGTGGAGGAGTAAAGCACTTAACATATAAGAATTAGAGGTATTTATGCACAAGCTCCACTGTCTGTGACTGACCAGGTTCGTACTTGTGAAGTATATAAGGAAGCTGTTCTGTTACTGAAGTACAGGTTACAACACAGGAAAAAGTCTTACTGCTAAAAGTAACTGAACATGCCTCAGGTTCAATGCTTGTATTACTTAATAATTAAATAACAGAAGCAGAGTTTAACAGTACTTTGACATTTAGTCATTAATTTCCCCTCCCACCCCCTGCTCCATTAGTATCCTAGAATTTCATCTGTAGAATTGCAATTAAAGTCAATGAAACAAAGCTGCGGCGGTGCTATATTGCTTTGCATTAAAGCACAGTATGTATCAGGTGGGCACCCAAGATCAACAGGAGATTAACATGAGACCCCTTTTCTTTAACTCTCTCTGGAGTAAAGTGAATCTAATCTCACAAATCAGATGTGAAGATAATAGATTCCTTAGCCTGAATATCATACCTGAATTGCCCACAGGCAATAAACAGAAATAAAACACTAAATATTACAGAGCTTTTCCAAGCACACCAGACACCAGACACATTGATAAAGCAAGGATCTACTGACATAGATCAATAAGCCAATGATCAGGAATCTTACTTTCAGTTCAGTAGATGGTTATTTTCTTTTCCTCATGCTGACAGCTACCAACAAGTGGCTACTGATATTTATAACTAAACAGCAGTCAGATATCTAGCACATACAAAGCAAAGAAAGTTTCAGATACCAGCATCTGAGATTTCGTTGGAGAAAAAAAGAATATTAAGAAGCCTTGATAGTTCTTTTTCTGTCATTAGTATATAGGCTTTCAACTATTTAAGTGAAAACAGAAGGTTAAACGATAATTGCAATAAGAAATTATCTTCTTAAATCAACCACACAAAATTCGCATTGCTTTCCTCCTTAGAACCTCAATCCACGTGACAAGGCAGTCTGGCTGACCTACACTCTTGAACACGGTTTTACGTTGCTTTTGATTACAAGGTATTTTCGTATTTACACAGTTTTGATATATCCTTACCAGATTAATATTGTACGTTTTACACGTCAGATCATCCAAGCTCTGGTTCTGCAGCTTTTCTGTTATTAGTGTTACCATTGTAGTTGTTCCTTTTCTACTGCTCACACAGAAGTGTTGGAGGCTCTTAGGTGTCTTGTTTCAACAATCACAAGCCATTTCTGTTTTGGTTTAAAGTCTTGAGATTTATGCTTCCATCTTACTGCCAAAGTTTATTTCCAAATGCTGTCAGTGTTTCATGTCTGCTTTTCTGTAAAACTGAGACAGAAAAAGGAAGAAGTCAGAAACATTATTGCATACATCATGATTAGTATTGTCATAACATGACTTGTTTGGACCAGGAAGATGCGAGCACTCCTGCATTTAAACTGCTACACTGAAAATGTATCCAGGTGTACTACAACAGCCTATGAAACATGCAGCTACATGCCATACTCCTGTATGTTCAGCAAAAGTTACACCATTTTGTTTCATCGCTAAACCCTTTTTAAAAGAAGAGTGGACCAGTGGAGAGCACTAACCACTTTCCAAACCCTCAGCTACTTTTAATGCATTCCTGTGGTTTTTGTTGTTTTTTTTTTTTTTTCTTTTTTTTTCTGAAGGCTATGTAATTGCTGTCTGTCAGCAAACATCAGATCTTAACCTGGTAAGCAGGAGATAACCATACATGTAAAAACATCACCGACAAAAGCTTAGATGTCTGTATTCTGTGAGCAATCATTTGGATCAAGGGCAGATTTGCTCTCTGCCTCCTCTCCTAATTGTAGAATCATAGGATCTCTAGCTTTCTTCCCTTAACATCAGTAAGCTTTAACTGCTACAGTTCATTCCTCACTGTCTTTCCAACACTCTATATTGGCTTGTTGCTTATACCACAGCAAGTCACTTTCTTCTTCCTTAATTTCTAACCTAACTCCTCAACAATTCGCAGAGAAAAATGTAATTATTTTCCTTCTTCTATCACAAAGTCATTTAGGTTCAACATGATTCTCAAATCAGCTTCCAATTTTCAAAAGCAAGTTTGCATCAACAGCAATCACAGTTTCTCCATACTACTTCCAAGGAACTTCTTTCAGTAACTTTGCCTTACTGGCTTAACCAAAACATCCTTACTAAACTCCTGCTGATAATCCACTACTGTGTGCACCAACCACTCTTGCTTTTATAACTGAGAAGTGCTGAGTATATATTCCACGACTGTAGTTACCCTTCACAGAATTAAAAATTAAAGTCAAGACATAAGCACTACCAAATTCAAACAAAGCAAAAAAAAAACACACAACCAAAAACAAAAAAACAAACAAACAAACAAAAAAAAACTTGAGGAAAGAACACAGCCAACTTTTATACCAGAATTTTGTTTTCATTTGCTAGATTTTAAAATTCATGGTGAAAACAAGCGGCAGAAAAACCACCGAAAATTTGTTTGCGTGAAATACTCCATCCTTTCCACAATGTTCCTTATCAGCTGTTTAAGTAACCAGTAGTAGCAAGAGAAAAGTCACTTGAGTCCATGACCAAAGTTAAACCCACTTAAAACTTTAAGGTATTAATTGCCTTGTGCAATTACCTCTGAAACCTGTTACCTATTTGTTAGCTCAAATATGATTTCATATGCTGGTCATGCACTATGTCACCTTCACAGACACCCGTTTTGCCAGTCTCCTAATTAGGCTGAGAGGTGCCAAAAACCCTAACTTCTGACCATCCCTTCATCCCCACCCTCCTATCTAGTTTTATTTGCAACAAGGCAATGCTTACATCAATATATAGTGTTACACAGGTATCTGGATACGTGGAGACATTTTACTGTGTGCCCTATCTTCCAGGAAAGCACCCAAAGATTTGAAATATTTACCATTTCTTGTTCTGAAATCACACCGAGTCAAATATCAATAGTGTTCAAGTTCATATGTTCACTGGTAAAGGTTACAGAAACCCTTTCCAAAGTAAGCATCTGCCATGGAAAGAGTGATTCATGAAGTAGCAAGTTTAAGGGCAAATGTGAACTAAGTATTATGTGAAGTAGCATGCTCAAGTGTACTGTAATGTAAAGGGACATTCACATCCCTTCTAGCCCTGGCAAAGTTGGAACTAGATCTAGAAAACCAGAACACAAGTAAAAAAACTGACTGGATGGTGTAAGTCATCCATACTCTGCCTAAAAACATTATGAAAACGAAGGACCTACTAACCAGCACAAAGACTTTCAGATTATTTTGAGGATTAAGATTTCTGCAGCTAAGAGGCTACTATTAAGAAACAGCTGAAAAGTTCAGCAGGTGCTTAATTACTAAGCTTAAGGCTTTTGAGTTTTTGGTTTTTTTTCTCCCACAAATAGAAGAAAACAAATCCAATAAGGTTATGGG